CCCAAAGTTGTTGAGATTTGGGAGGTATACAAGTTTTACAAGTTATTATTATTGAACCTCAGATTAGAAAATTAGATTCAGATTTTCTGCACAGAAAAACACTTGCTGAAGATGACCACGATCTATATAATTCAATGTTCATGTTAAGTTGTGGATATACATATTTTTTTCCTATTCTTCATTTACAGATGTGACTAACAAATAAATCATTGTTCTACAAGGTTTATTTTGTTAGGCAAATAGCATCATATAAATAATCACCAACCCTAAGTGAACAAGTATATACCTATAAAGAAAATTAATAGCACTTATTTTACCATTAATTCTCAATATTGCTTTAATGAAAGATAAAGTTTTCTGAGCTAATAATAACCTCCAAAAAAGATCAGATTGAAAGAAAGGCAAATCAAGTCTCAATTGATATCTTTGAAATTCTTTCCCACAGATTATTCCTTCCGTATAATATTTCAGAAGATCAAGACCTTATTATCTTCTGCATGTTGCAGGGAAAATTCAAAATGATGGGTAAACTTTTCAGAAGAAAATTTCTTCTACAGATTTCATCATAATGCAATTGTGCAGAGGAGGTATGTGTTTATAATTTCAGCAGACAATACCATAGCTAAAATTATTCAATATGCATCATTAGTTGTACATTATTTATCTTTCTGCCTGGAAAGAAATATTTCAAATTCCTAGCAAATTCTAGAAAGCAAATTTGCTAACAGCAAATTTCTAATTATCATACATAGTTGCAAAATGAACTATATCTTTTCTATCTACTAAAACTCTGTAGCCTTCAATTCCAAAATGATACATAGTGCAAAAAGTTTTTGAATTAAGTACCTAAAATCCATTAAATTAAAGAAAGTGTACAAAATCAAAGACCCATTATTTTCACGATTGAAATTTAAAGTATTTTCACACCACTTATATTAGCAATCCTATGGCTGCTGCAGCACAGAGTCAAGTGATCGTGAATTTTGACGCTCCCTGCCAGCTTTTCACAAGGGAGCTCCTGCTCTCACTGCTTTTTTGTCCATTCTGTTTCTCTGTTTGGATAAGAAAATACTTTTGAAAAGATGTCCAACAGCCATGGGTTGTCCAATTTCTGCTAGAATCCTACATTCTAATTATCAGATTGACTTGGGTATTACATCACTTAAAATCCACCACACATATAATTCTTGGACAACAAAATGAAGATATTTTGTTGTCCATTTCATTTTAAGTTGTTTATAATCAAGCAATTAGTTTATCTACTAGATATTAATTAGCACCTGCTTTCTATACAAGCTAATAACTGTTTCTCTCTCCAGCTTTCACCCAACTGAATTTTCCTTTAGAACATTTCACTACAGGTAGCCCTCGACTTATAACAATTTCTTTAGTGACAAAAGTTACAACAGCACTGAAAAAAGTGACTTATGACTGTTTTTTATATAACCATTGCAGCATTCTCATGGTCACAATAAAAATGCAGATGCTTGGCATCTGGAATGTATGATGTTGCATGTTCCTGGATCACATGAACAACTTTTGCGACCTTCTGACATGAAAAATGGGAAAGCCAGATTCACTTAACATTACTATCAACAACTGCAGTGATTCACTTAACAACTGTGGCCAGGAAGATAATAAAATGGGGCAAAACTTACTTAAGAACTGTGTTGTTTAGCAATGGAAATTTTGGGCTCAATTGTGGTTGTAAGTCAAGGACTATCTGTGCTCCACAGCTGGGCAGTCTGTGCTAACTCCCTCACCCAAAAATCAAATCACAATACAGTACCTCGTTCAGGCAAAATAGATGATAGAATGGACTCAGTTTATTCAGAACAGGGGGTATAAGAGGAAATAACACACACTGTATTAGAATCTGCTACATAAGCTTCAAAATCTTTTGGGAGACATAAAGACACAGTGACAGATTTCCCTATTTTAATTAAGCCAACTGATTCTTTCCTCTCTTGTCTCTCCATCTGCTTGGATATTTAATATTCAATTTTATAGATAGGTCTGAAATACATGAATCTTGGATTTTTATTAATGCATAACTATCCCATTACAAAATTCTTTACCAGCCAAATCATATGATATATTTACAGAATAGGAAACAAGGGAAAAAGGAAGCAACAAACAGGAATATTTAAATAGAAGGTAAGAGGAGCTAGTTGAAAATGTTTCTCCTTCAAAACACTTTAAAATATGGAGTCAGGTATAAACATTAACACAGAAAGAATGATCCCAATTTCCCATCCATTTTCCAAATAAAAAGAAATCATACAGTAGTGGCGAAAATTGTGGAAACCTTTTTGGGAAAAGTGTATTTTTGAGATTTGATGGCTAATAACACTTTTTTTTGGAGTAGTATTATAAAATTGTATATCAACACAGAGATAATTTAATCAAGAATGTAATGCAACATAGTTTGTTCAATTATTTGTATTGTATTCTATGAAACCGTTATAGCCAAATAATCAGAAAAACACAACTTGCTTAGGTTATCAGGTAGCTTTCTTTCATCTGACTGTAGCCAATGAGCATGAATATTTAGAGAGCCAATCAGGTGTCATCTTGTTTTAGCAATGAGCCAACCAGATCACAGTAGGATTCAGTTACTGATGTCATGTATTGAAGCTGAGGACATTTATCAGTGTGTTATGTGATTGTTATCAAGTTGGTTGGTTTTTTTTCCCTTTCATTTAGTGAGCTTGTAAAAAGTAATAAAATTACAGTAATAGTGCAAAGAGTTGACTGGTTGCCCAGAAAGCGATGTAAAATAGTATTATTAAGTGAACACTTAATAAGTGTTAACACTTAACACTTAAAGAAATGAGAAGAAAAATTGGTGGAAACTTAACCAAAGGTGGCATTTCTACTATACATTTTCCCCAAAAGGTTTCCACAATTTTGGCCACTGCTGTAGGGCTAGAAGTAAAATTATCTAGCCCAACCCTTGTTCAAGTGCACCATCTCTGAAACAACTACTACTACCTCCATTTCAAGACAGAGAAGATCCCATCACTTTATGAGAAAGTTAGTTCCAATATTTGACATCTCTTACAGTCAGCAATTTCTCTTGATATGTATTCTGAACTCTTTCCTTGAAATTTTAAATTTTGGGTTCTGCTCCTTTTTCTCCATGGCAATTCTTCAAATATTTGAAGATTGTTTTCCTAACTCCTCTAAGTCACCTTTTAAGGTAAACATACGATTCTCTAACACTTTTTCATAAAGCTTAGACTCCAGACCCTTCACTACCTTGACAACCCTCTTCAAACTTGTTTTAATTTGTCACTGTCCTTTTCAATTGTAGTGCCTCAAAATGGACACCAGATTCCAACCGAGGCCTGATTAGGGCAACGGCTGTTAACGTGTTACCAACTGTCTTTTCACCAGCTGCCCTCAGGCTGGCGTTCATGCCCAAATCGCTTTTATATAATGCTGCCAAACGAAATCTCCTTTCAGTTTTCTTCCGCTCTTTTTTCTCACGCACCTCTCAATACCACAACTACCAATTTTCTACAAAAGTATCTTCTATCCGAAATTATCAAAATTTCCCAGAACTCGCCTTTCCGAAACCCCCAAAATCGATCCCTCCTGCACGATTATTGCGATTACTATCGCTGCATCGGCTATCCCCTATTGAGCACTTGGTAAAGGGATGTTCCCATCTGATCAGAGAGCCTTCATGACTCCTACATTGCAGGATAATTCTGACTGCCGACGGTTCGGCAGTTCGAGTTTCAGCGGCTCAAGGTTGATTCAGCCTTCCATCCTTCCGAGGTCAGTAAAAATGAGGACCCAGATTGTTGGGGGCAATAGGCTGACTATGTAAACTGCTTAGAGAGGACTGTAAAAGCACTATGGAGCATTATATAAATCTTAAGTGCTGTACATCCCTAAAGATTCTGCCACGGAGAAAGCGAGCAAGCGCTTTTTTTGCAGCCCGAAGCCCTATCACTCACCCTCGGTGTTGCTCTGGACTGCCTTCATCCTTCCGATGATGGTGGGGGGAAAGGGGGTAGGTGACCCTGCTGCTTTCCCTCATGTAGACGCCTCGACCTGCCCCAGCCAGACCCCTCTCCCGTGGTAAGAAAGGGGCGGGCCCGGCAAAAGCAGCCTCCCTCAATCCCGACAGCTATTGCAAAGCAACCCCTATTCCGCCACCCGCCACGCCAGACCTCCCTGCTCCTCCTCTCCGGGCTCGAAACATGACAAATGTAGAACAGGAAGTCAAGCGAGAATCCCGGGCGGCAGTCAATGCAACAGCCCGAAGGCCAGGAATTCTCGCGAGCTTTGTAATCGTCTCTGTCTCCCTTCCCCCAGCTGTTCTATCAAATTCTTCTTTAACCCCCAGAGTAGATGGCAGCCTTTTTTTCAGCTGTTTTCAAGTAAAGAATGCTTTTCCATAAAGTGTCATTCTTTTTCCCTCACATCTGATGCTGGCAAAATGTCGTTTCCAGGTTGCTTAATAAGTATTGATAGAAAAAGAGGAAGCGGGGACGCCATTTCTAAATCAATTTGTTTTTATTCCCCAGGAAATTCATCACGTTTTTGTGAAAAAAACAACAAAAATATCCGCAGCTGCCTTGTGATAAGATTTAATATATTTCATAGCAGGGAATTAAAACGATCGAGGATCGCACAAAAGCATTACAATACTACATTTTTTCCCACTATTAAGAGAAAAAAATTACTGACGGAAAGCAAACTCCCTTTTCTTTTTTTCGGTCTTGTAGGTTTTTCAAAAATAAACGTTTAATTAAGAAGAATGCATTTTAGTCTTCTAAATTCCTTGTGTGTCCAACCACACTTGGCCAATAAAGAATTAGGCCGTCCACGCTTTGAGGAAAAAAAAAAAAGCCCAGATCCCGCGAGATCATGGCACCAAACCTCGTAAAAACCCCACAGGTCAGAAATCAGGATAACCTATTCTCCGTCCCATCACTGATCTCTAGGCAGGAGTCGCGAGACTTCGCAAAGCTCGGGGTGTGCGGGAGCGCGTGCGCCTGCGTAGGAGCAAATGTACGCGCACGCACGTGCGTGTTCTCGCGGTATTTGGAGAAATAGGAGCAGGTAGAGAGGAGTTGGGGGAAAGGAACCTCCGAGATATACCCAAAGAAGTCACGGCGTCGGCGGCTCGGAGGACGACAACGACGGCGATTATTTTTTCGTATTCTCGCGAGAATTGGTGGCTAACCTTCTTCCCTCCTCGCTTTCCTACCTTCCTCTCCCCTCCCCCTCCCCCCCAATCTGGAAGGAGCGCCGTTTCGGTCTGGGAAGTAGGTGGAAAAAGATGGGAATCTTGACTTGGGGAACTCACTAGAGATTTAGGTTGAGGAAGGTGGTGTCCCCTTAGTAGAGGCTCTTGGGTTGGTCACGGGCCTGCGGGATTTGCTCAGTGAGCGAGGCCCCGGGGCGGGCTGGAAGTGTAGATAGTAACCCCCTCAGGAAGTTAAGGAAATAGCAGATAAATTCAGTCCCTACTTTCATTTTGTAGGGACGTGGGACCTTAGTTAGTGGCAAGGCAACCTTGAGGTTTGCTTAAGTACTTTGAGAGACTAGTCTTAGGGGACCCCTTTTTCAAAAACCGTAAAGCGACTAGTATTTTCCAGAACTTTTCTTTTTCTTTCTTTTTTGGCGTTTGTAACGTTCAACTTCTTACCTACTTACAATCTAGGGGTTTTGCGTATTTTTTACGCCTTTAATCAACCCTTTTGAGCAATTAGTACCCTAAAAGTGGGAGTTAATTGAAAGGTGGCTCAACTCAGTTGTAACTCTATTTGTGAGGCAGCTTTATCTTACGATATTCTGCATGTAATTGCAGAATCAGGTATTCATAAAGCAGCCCAATTTATCCTCATGTAAAGAGACAAGGGTGGGTTGAATGTAGGACATAAGTCACAAAAAAAGTGGCCCTTCCATCATAGGGAGGGGGGCTTGAAGAGTAGAATTTGGGCTTTTTGGAGGATTCCTCCCTCTTTTCAAGCACAGTGGAGAAGGAATGCCAAACCCAGAGAGACATGGGGGAAAGAAGGATACGGGAGGTGGGGGGTCTTTGCATCAAGATGCAGTGTCCAGCAGTGGGAGCTCAAACAGCAGAGAAAGGCATCGACTCTCCAAGCATAAAAGACACAGATCCAGGCATTCCAAAGATTCGCCGTTGGGGTCCCAAGAAGGAGGAGCACCTCTTGGCAGCATGATCAAACCATTGGTAGAATATGATGATATCAGCTCTGATTCTGACACTTTCTCAGATGAAGCCGTCCTCAAGTTGGAACGTAGAGAAAATGATGAGAGGAAAGGGACATCAGACAGGAGTGATCGACTACATAGACGTCATCATCAACACAGGCGTGTCCGTGAGTTGATAAAAAGTAAGCTGGGAGACAAGGAGAAGAGAATGGAGAAAAACCAAGAGTCCTCAGGCAAGTTGAGTTCTAGTAAAGATAGACTATCTGGTACTTCCAAAAGGGTTCATGAGGAGAATGATGACCATTCATCTAAATCATTCAAGAGCAGTAGCAAAGAGTCCCGTTCAGCCAAACTGCATAAGGAGAAGTCTAGGAAAGAACGGGAGGTAAAATCTGGTCACAAGGATCACAGTAAAAGTCATCGGAAAAGAGATGCCCCCAAAAGTTACAAGTCATTGGACAGTCCAAAGCGGAAATCCAGAAGTCCACACCGTAAGTGGTCCGATAGTCCCAAACAAGATGACAGTCCTTCAGGAGCATCCTACACACAGGACTATGACAACAGCCCTCCACGATCACATACATCCAGTAACTATGATTCATATAAGAAGAGTCCTAGTGTATCCTCACGACGACCATCAGTCAGCCCTCCATATAAGGAACCTGCTGCCTACCAATCCAGTATGCGTTCTCCCAGCCCTTATGGCAAGAGACAGCAGTCAGTCAGTCCATACAGCAGGAGGCGTTCATCCAGCTATGAAAGAGGGAGTGGATCATACAGTGGAAGATCTCCCAGCCCATTCAATCGAAGGCGCTCCAGCAGTCCTTTTGTTTCCAAGCGGTCTCTGAGCCGTAGTCCTGTTTCCAGGTATTATTATTCATCATTGAGCCTCTTAAGTACAATGTAACTAAAGGGGCTAATGTCCCAGAATCATTGTTATTGTTTCTTAGAACAGAAAATGTTTTATACTTCTCTGATTCATTAGGGTCACCTTTCCCATCATGATGCGTCCCTATGTGTTGGATTATAACATTTTTAAGGTAGCATGCTTATGCTACTGAGAGTGGAGTTGGAGTAACACAGACGGGTCCAATATTGTATCCTAAGTAATAGGTTCTATTTTATTGATGTGGAGAATGAAGTTGAAAAGAAGCCAGGTCAGCCAGTATGACACTGAACTGGTGGGATATCATGCTAAACAATGATATGAAATAGAATCATACAGTGCCAGTGAGCACTGGTCTTGCATGTTTTTCAAAATAGCTTTGGTTTAATTTGTCATGTTATCAAAACTTTGCAAACTAGAATCAATGATCAAAATATGATTGGCATGAACTACATGGTGAACGACAATGCAGATGGATAGTTTCTATGTCAGGTGTGTAAATGATAAACACAGCTGCCAGGATTTACTGTTTTTTGTTTTAATTGTGTCAGATGTAGTATAAACTCAGACATTTCTGAAAACTAAAACTAAATCCATACTCATATATATTGTAGTTTTTCAGTTTTTATAAAATTAAAAAACTGGAAGAGGTGACAGGATGGGCTTACTAAATATGTAAACTTTGGTGTTGTAAAGAACATTTTTAGCAAATTGAACTCAATTCAAAGAAAATGAAGTACACTTAAATTTATATCATTTAAGTATATAGCATGGAAGTTTCAGGTTTTATCAGCCTTCATTGTATTGTATTCTCTTAATTTTTTGCTAGTAACAAAATGGGTTAATTGCAGTGACTTTCCATCTAGTTAATGCTTGGATAGTTTTATCACAATTATTTTACTGGACCTTTCTTAAATGGAGATAGACATTTTTTTGATACACTTTTAGCGAAACAACAATTATATGCTCAAAAATCACCTTTGATTTCAGCTTCTAATCTTTATGGATACCATAAGGCAATGATGGCGAACCTTTTAGAGACCGAGTGCCTGAACTGCAACCCAAAACCCACTTATGTATCGTCGGGTGCTGGGTGGGCGTGGCCCATTGGGTGGGCGTGGCCATGGTGGTAACAGCAGACTGGGTAGGACTAAAAAGTTCAATCAATCAATTCCAACTTTGCGAAATCTTTTTTTTTTTTTTTGCACATGGCGGCGGAGGCCTAAAGCAAAAAGCTTTTATAAAACCCAGCTGAAGGCCTAGGACTGGGGCGACAGCACGCGTGCCCACAGAGAGGGCTCTGAGTGCCGCCTCTGGCACACGTGCCATAGGTTTGCCACCACTGCCATAAGGGAAGTCAGTGTAGGTAAAATGTGTTCATATTATTCCTTTGAACTGTAATTTTAACAACTAATTATTGAAATCTAAAAGCAGAAAGGAACTTTGAAAAGACCACTTTCCTAGCAACATTTATCATTGATTCTAAACTTTATATTATTCCTCTTACTTTAAATAAGATTTCATTTTGCTAATAGTTTGGAAGATATTACTGTCTCTTAATAATGTAAATATATGAAACTGCTAATAACTGATTATCACCGATTAACATTTCCATGGATAATTTTTTATAATTTCTTGTTAACATTTTTTAATGCAGAACCTTGGCATTCAAGTATGAGCTCACTATGTTCAGTGATGCAACTAGCATTCTGGCAATGCTAAACAACAGTCTTGTCACATTGTTTTAAACATTCACAGAACTCTCCTCTTCCTGTTGTGAATTCTGGATGGTCTTCGTGAAGTGTGACTCTCACAACTCCATTCTCTCTACAGTGAGATAGTTAATGAACATGAGAGAAAGTATATAATAGTTAACATAAGACATTTTATATGGAGTAAATGTTGTGAAACAAATATTACTAGGCAAGCTTCCCGCCAAGTGTGATAGGAAAAAATGTCACTGTTACTAGGTTATATGTGTTTGTATACACACATACACACACACACACACACACACACACACACACACACACACACACAGAGTATATTTTATAAACCTTGCATTTAATTGGCTACATTTTGAATCCAATATTTTTTGTTTCTATTGGTAAGATGGGGTTGGTCCTTCAACTCTTGGCAATTATTTTTAAATAACATAAGACAAATGGAGCTGCTATTTCCTGCTAATTAGGAACCAAATGTCAGGAAAGTATCTCCATGTCTATTGAAAAAGGATTGGTTAATATGTGTAAACATAATCTGATTTAAAAACTTATGTTCATAAGTTTAGAAAACTTATGAAAGTGACTTTGTTGAGTCTGATATGTGGAGTAAAATGGGTTTGAATAGAACAAACTATTGTGTATATAAATATGTGAAACTGCAAGGGGGCATCTCATTCCTGTTCATGTTTCTTTTATTTCATTTTATAGGCTTTACAAAGCTTTGTCTGATGTTCTAGTTTTCCAACTTTTTCCCATTCACCTATATATTTTGGGTTTTGAAACTCTTAAACCATTTTAACTCACATGTTCCACCTCTTCTATAAAAACAAGTGCCCTTCCTTTAAATTAGTGGTTCCCAACCTTTTCTATACCCCATACCCCTAGAATGCTTCTGATATATTCTCGCACCCCTTACACAAGTTCAAAATAACAGCAATGAATTATGCATATAAACTATAATTTTGAAAACCCAAGTTTTCGCACCCCCTGGAATATCATTGTGCACCCCTGGTTGGGAATCCCTGCTCTAAACTGACCGTTCATATTAACTGGGAATGGCTTCTTATAATTATATTCTTATAATTAGTACAACACTATGAAATGAGGTGTTTGTAGTGAGTTCAAGAACTATTTCTCAAGTTGGATTCCTAATTAAACAGGGATTGGCAACCTGTTAACTTGAAGTTTGGAGAATGGGATATAGATCACTAGAGCTCAAATATCCTGTAAACGATTTTTGTTGCAAATTTATTAGTACATTATGGTGATCTGAATTTTGGGGAATATTGTAGGATATTTTGAGACTAGGCTGAAAGATGAAGATACATAAGCAGGTAGGACAATAAGCCAGAAATCTTATCTAAAAGATCTCTTTAGGGAGGTGGTTAAGAAACAACCAAATCTAAAGGAAAAAAAGTTAACTGAGACAGACAAAGGAAGCTGGGCCTGAGTACATAGAGCATGCTGCCATCTGATCAACAGCTACCAAACTTGTGAATAAACATAACAAGGACTTTTGGGTACTAAAAGGAGCCCTAAAGTCCACTCACTCTTTGAGTTCTCTTTGGAGCCAGACTTGGTGGCTTTTGTCCCTCTAGCTCACGGGTGTCAAACACGCTGTGCCATGTGATGTGTCGTGACATATCACAACTTTTTTTGCATTGCCGGAGTTGGAGTGAGTGCAGCCTCCATATGATGCAACCAGCTGGGCCCAGCAGTTTGACACCCCTGCTCTAGCTAGTGCCTGCCAGCCTAGTTGAGGAAAACTTAGGTAATTGTGTATACTGGTACATGTGTATGAGAGCAGATGTTTATGTAACCAGTAAAGCTTTGCTCTTATTTTAAATTCATTGAGTCTCTGTGTATTTCAAAGAACCTCTTATGCCTCAGTATTTGGATAAAAGTGATTTGGGTGTCCCTAATTATTTCTCAGCTTTTGACCAGAGATGCCTGCTTTTAGTTGTATCTATCTGGAAAACTCAAGTAGAAAGTAAGGGGACGTACAAGTTGTGTGCTGTGACTGAGTGACCATAAGCCAAATCTGAGAATGCTCTCTTTGAGTGTATGGAGAACAAGAGAATACTATATATTTCCTTACCTGGAAGTGCCCTGAAGCATAATTAATATTTATTTGACTGTAGTTGTGCTAACATGCCACTTAATTTTGTAGTTTGTTAGGGTTATGGCTTACTGTGCTGAGTGAATCCAGTATTGTGGTCTGCACCTTATGGTTAAAATTAGGCCATCATAGCTTTTAAAACAAATACTATAGCATGATGTGTGAACTCAGCCAGTGAGTGCATTATATGGTAGTAACCATCTTTCAGCCAAAACAACAAAATAGTTTTTATTAAACTATTATGGCACTTATTATTATTGAATTCCTATAGATAATTTGTGTTTTCCATTAATGTCAAAACCATTGTAAGGAAAGAATCCTGATTTGGATTAGTTATATTTAAGAAATTAACTTGAATGTTATTCATTCAAGAAAGAATATTTCTCTTTGCTCTTGATAGAGGTCTGCCCTTATATTTCTAGAATAATATCAGTAAATATGACTTTACTATTTATTTCCAAGAATGCAACTAGCTCTTTTCATATTGGAAGCCATGAAAACACTTTAAACTGCCTAAAATGGTAAATAATGACTTATTGATAGCTTATTCAAAACTTGGAAGAAAATTGGAATAATTGGCCTAAGGCTGAGTTCAGCCATATTAACTAGTGAAGTTCTTATTTATCTTTGAGCTTAATTTGAATAAATAGTGCCTCTCACAAACAACTGTTTATACAAACTTGCATGATCCAGGCGATTGGATTTCTAGAAACTACTCTTTGCAAGTCTTGGGTATCCATATTGTTGTGTTAAAAATGAATATAGTAAAAGTTTTAAAACAGCTAAAATGTTTAAATATAAATAATATAAAGAGGGACAAAACTCCACACTTTATAGCACTGATGATGTTATCTAGTTGGTAATGAAAGGTCTACAAGTAGACAAATAAGCTCAGGTAGTACCAGAAACTCCAAAGTTCATCCCTAACTACATATTTCCCTTCTACTGATAACTTTTAAATCTGAAAATAATAAAGTAACAAAATAAAGGAACAATTTTTAATGTATTTCACTGATTTAAAAAAATAAAAAGGAGGCAGGTAACAGTCACATTTCAAGCTATATCTACTAAATTTTAGATTAGTAAGCTACACTGCAAAGACCTGAGGTACTCCTGTTAGACCTCAGGGTTGCATACATTCTCAGCTGCCTATAATTAATTGTAGAAATTGCTTTCAAATCTTTGTGCTTTGTTGGAATTTTAGTGTTTGGGATTAGAAATGATTTAGATAAGATTACTAATCTGCTGAGATTTGATTCTTAGAACAGTTTTGTCCAGTAATGTTAGAACTAAAACAGCTCAGTGTCAGGAAGGGACTAGGAAAGACTAAACCAGTGTGTGGATTACTGACACTCAGCTGAGTTTTGGTCTTACTAGTTCTTTTAAATTTTTACTTTTCAGGAGCTGTAGATAGGACATATATAGCACTTCTTCCTCTTATTTTTTTTATCATAAAACTCTGTGACCTAGGTTGGACTAAAAAAGAGTGATTGGCTCAGTCACACAGCAACCTTCTGTGGCTGGGAATGTTCTCTGTCTTACCCTGCTACATTATACTGGAAAATACATAACCTATGTTGAACAACAGAACTGGAAGTTTACTTCCTTTCTGACCTGGCCAGTGAATTCGCAGTCTTCTTGATGGGGAAAAAAGGTAATTTCAGTGAGGTTATTTTCTGATTACATAGAACATTTAAGGGCACCTCGGGAGAGTAACCACCAATGTGGGAAAGTGAAACTTGAAAGCAATATTGACCAAAGCAAAGGCAGCTCATCTTCCCTCCCTGCCATCTCTCTTTTAGTAGAACAATTAAAAGAAAAACTTCATAGTAAATATTTTTTCTTATCACAAAAGCCTGTCTTGTTCTGTGCAGGGAATTTATATGTCTTTGGTTTTGCACATGTAAACACTAATATATCATGGTTTCTAGATTCCAAGCAAAAGGTTTAGATCTAGATATATCCAGGTCTAAAATGTTTGACCCCTTTTATTTTAACATGTAGTACTATAAAGATTGCGGTATTATGTTACATGTGAGTGGAAGATGCAGTTTCAGCCTATGCACATAAAGTGGATCCAAAGAAAAAAAAAGAGAAACCTGTAGCAAGTTGGAGAATGTATTGGAGCTTTAAGGGTCATGGTATCTATAAAGTTCTGAAGTGGTTAAACCATGACCTATTTTAACCATGGTCTGATGAATAAATCAGCTGGGTTCATGCAGCATTTAAGCATGGTTTACAAACTGCAGTGGCTGTGTTCACATATCTTATAATTTCAAATGAAACATATATTTTTACATAAAAATATGGCAGTTGAAATCCTATTGGATTCTGATTTGTCCTATTTTGTTTTCACAGGAAGCCCATGAAATCTCGAAGCAGAAGTCCCTCTTATTCAAGACATTCTTCATCTCATAACAAAAAGCAGAGAACTGGATCTCGCAGTCGCCATTCCAGTATCTCACCTGCTCGGCTACCACTGACCTCCAGTTTAGGAGCTGAGCTGAGTAGGAAGAAAAAGGAGAGGGCTGCAGCTGCAGCTGCTGCAGCAAAAATTGATGGAAAGGAGATCAAGGACTCATCTAGCTTGGTGTCTAGAAAAGAAAATAACTTAGCTGAAGTAAAAGAGTCTATAATGGATGTCAGGAAGGCCAAAATGGCTAAGCCTGAAAAATGTCCTCATGATCTGGTGACAGTAAATACTCTACAACACAATGCAGAGATAAAAACAACTCCTGAGCCTGTCAAAACAAAGACAGTAGAAAATTCTGAAAAGAAACGACCTGTTTTGGTTAAAGACTCGAAAACTGTGGGAACAAAAGATACGAAACTTGTTATAGCAAAGGAGGAAATTGTGACTCCAAAAGAAATAGAGACATCTGAGCAGGAGGTCCAACCACCTTTGCCTTCTATAAAATCACTCCCTCCTTTACCAACATCATCCCCACCTCCTCAGATTCCTCCACCATTGCCCCCTTTGCCTCCATTGCCAGTTGTTCCCCCTCTGCCATCTGCCCAGTCATCCACCATTCACAGCCCTGCTTTAGTTCCTCTGCCATTTTCTGCCCATTCTAAAACATCCTTGACTTCTCAGGCTAACTCCCAGTCCACCATGCAATCCTCAAAGGGACATGGTTCTCTGACCATAGCTGTTCCTCATCTGAAAACGTCAACGTTGCCTCCACTCCCTTTGCCACCAATCTTGCCTGGGGAAGATGAGTTGGAAAGGTAAGGTTTGTAGACACTGCAGTTCTACAAAGGTGTGTTAGTGTAATGGATTGCTCATTTCAATCAATCAAAGATTAGTATCTGAAAACTGTTGAGCTGGTGCAGTAAATTCTGTAGTCAATAGAATTCGCAGGAGTAGTAACCTGGTTGCTGCATCTGAAACCTTGAATTTCTAGTAATGTGGACAGGAACAGGAATTCCTTGGAGGATATGAAGGATATATCTCCTTAATAGAAAATAACTTGGGTAGCCTGCTAGGAGAGTTCTTTGTCTGAAATGCTTGATAGGTGGTGTTGGTCGGGGTAATTTTAGACTTAAATGATGTGGTTGATAATCCTACTGTTGTTTTCAGTCTTTACTCTTGGCTTGCAATGCTCTTTATGAACATAGCTCTGATTTCATGACTAGAGAATGTTTAAATAGGCGAGCAATGTGCTTTTGGACCCAGCGTTCCCTTTAGCCAGTGTGTATTGATTTGTTTTTTTATCAGTATTTGATTGCTATAATTGGAGCCAGGAATGATGATCTTAAATCAGATATTTATTTTTGGTGGTGGTGGTGGTGGTGGTAAAAAGTATAATTTGGCCATTTTGGTTGCTGTCTTCATTTTTCCTCTTGCTGGGCATGTTATCCTATTTTCATATGTCTTTTTCTGCACACAAAGAGGACTGTGCAAGACCAAGATTTGCTGTAGCTGTGACCTGATTTTTGTCAGCTTTCCTTTCTTTTAGTTTGAGTTTTTCTCCAGTTTGTCAAAATATTCATCATGCTATAGGGAATTTATAAGTAATAAGTATAATAGTGATAGCATAATATTAGATTTCTGGGAATGCAGAGCTGGATTTTTATATTCCTTTGGGATCTTGAATGGGACAGCAGGACTGGATTCTGTCTGATGCACTAAAATAATTCTAGACAGAAATTTATATCATTGTATATTATTACTATTATTTTAGAAATATTGCTTAAAATAATTTTATTTTTTGCTTCAAAAGTTCTTTGGAAGAAAGACGCTGTAGAAAAATAATAGTATAATAAACTGTTAGGGGAAAAGAGGAGGCAATAAGTCAATTTCTAGTATTCGGGTTTTTATAAATGTTATGTTGGAATAGGACACAGAACCCAGGTAACTAAATTTCCATCTTTAAAAAAAGGCACTGCTATCCACCAGAATACCATCTTGAGAATCATACAACAGAAGTGTGCAGAACAAATAACTCTTTCCCAATAAACAGCCAGATTGAATCCTTCAGGGACTATTAGTTGTTTTTCATACTATAGCCAATTTGATTTCCAGGAAAAGGAATTTTCTTAATTCTTAATCTAGCAAACAGTTTTAATTCTCAAGTGTGTTTGCCCTATCCCATGTTTGGCAGGGGCTGGTGAAAGTGTAAAGAGAAGTTATTATGAGAGTTTTGTTACATCTTTGCTGCTAGAGTTGGACATTGTTGATACTATATTGCTAATCTTCCACATGTCAGTCAGCATATAGTCCTATCTATCTAATAATTACAAAGGCAGTACATCATAATATCCAGAAATTGTAAAAGAATGAATGACAAGCACTAATCTATAAGTGTTCATTTACAAAACTGTAGTTAGCATAAATATTTACATGTAGACAGTTTAATAATCTAAGAGTGTTTTGCCATAGCAAGTCATAGGAATATTTTCAATCCTCACTTTAACATTAATAAAGTTAGATAATTCTTATTAGTTAAACGGGGAAGACAGCTGGATTAAGGGGGGGGGGAAATGTAGTCAACCCTGGCCAATCACAGATCCTTTCAAGCATGTTTGAGTAGTATGGTGGGAGTGGAGGAAGAAGATACTTTAAAAATATGTGTGGCCAAGAAAAAGTTAATTTGATTTCAGTATACTGTAGTTAAATTAGTTCAATTCATGATTGTGTTCTTTTATGTTTTTCCTTCCATTTCATTAAAAGTGACATATTTTCTAAACCCCAGAAATTTGAAATTTCAGCTGTATATCAGGTACTGAACTTCAATGCTAACATGGTAAAACCTTTGGTTACATTGATTTGCTCTAGATATTTCTCTCAATAATGTTATAATTGTAGCTGTGATCAGTTTCTGAATAATTCACAATACTTTTCTGTTCTCTGGTGCTTTAGTCCAAAGGAGATTGTTCTTCTGAAGTCTGTGAAGAAAGAGAAAGAACAGAGACCACGACACTTGCTTACAGACCTCCCACTTCCTCCGGAGCTTCCTGGTGGAGACCCTTCACCGCCGGAGTCTCCAGAACCAAAGGCAGCCACACCACCTCAGCAATCATTAAGAAAGAGACCAAAGTAAGAACTAACTATACTTTATTTGATAGCATTTGTTCAAAATTATTTCTTTAGGCTAACATTGAAGATTGGCAAAAATTGGATTCTTAATATAGCTAGCCAAATCACCTTTCATCTTGTGCAATGATATATAGTAAGTCTAATATAACTTTATTCTCATGACTAGATTTAGATTTGATTAGTACTGGTAAATAACATTTGCACTTCCAATTGAAATACAATGCATTTTGAAATGGATAGAAATTGAAAATTAAGGAATATTAAAATGCAGATTCAGTTCATAGTGCATGGAAGATAAAATTTGATCAGCTTGATATCAATAGCTGCCAATGTATCCGACAACATCTCCCTTACAATTTGTCAAACTTCGTGCCTATCTAGTTTTTATTTTATAGTCTATAATTTAAAATAAAATAAGAATCAAACATATTGTAAAGCACCCCTCTCAAATATGATTTGTATTTCTATTAATGCACTGGGTTTCATATAAATCTTAGAAATATTCTCAAAAATAAAATGGCATATGGATTTAGCTAGAGCTTTGTTTCTAAGTATATCTCCCTGGAAAAAAATGAAAACAAAAATAAACTAAGTTTGGATGAAAAACTGGCTTGTTTTTAGCATTATGGAAGCATTTTGAACTCTTTTGAGCTTAAAAACAATATGAAAATGTTGAATACTCTGTATTTGAGAGTATTTCAGGAACCCTGTCATTATCAAAAAGGAATAATACAATCTGTATAATTTTATATAAAAATTGCAGTTGGATTTTGTTTCCCTGAGTTTAAGGCTTAATATAGTGTGAGAATCCAGCCTAAGAAAAGATGCCAACATTCAGGGGAGGGGATCTGTTTTACATGATGTTAACCATCCTATAGAAACCATTCTGTGCTGAGACATATAAACCCTTTCCCCCAGCCATTTTTTGCTAATATCCATGGATTCACTGATCAGTAGGCACGTATCAGGAAAAGAGAAGTTAGATGTTAAGTACTTGAGTATACTTGTGTATTAATCTTAAATGTGTATCTACCTTAAAGGTAAAATTGTTTAATGAACATACTTTTTATGTTCAAAGCAGAAAACTAGAATTATGCAGAATTATGCACTTATCGATATTCTTTTAGGTATTGCTTTATAGAGAATAATTTTGAAATTTATTTTTAATATAATATATGTAATTTTTAAATAATAAAGTCTAATATAAGCTAAAGTAAGATAATAGAATAGAAAGAAGTAAAAGGTGCAAGAAAAAAAGAGAAACTGAAAAGTAAGAATATAATAAAGAAAAGAAATATATAAAGAAATGACATCCAACCTTCATTATATATAAAAAATTTAGTGACTCTTTACCACCTGTAGGGAGACAAACATTTATGTCTTTATCCCATATCCCATCTCTCAGCTGTAAACAAATCCATAAAACATCATCTTTTCAATTAGCAGAAAGTCCATAAATGGTTGCCAGAAATAACAACATATCTTGTTTTAACTTTGATCAAATAAAACAGCTTTTTATTCCTTCCTTTTACTTCTAACAGTCTTTTTCTTTAGTTGTCATCAAATTGTAGGATTTGATTTCATTTTTTTTTGTCCCATCACCCAGAGTTTTCCAAGCCTCTAACAAGCTTCTGTTATAAATCCAGTAGGAAAAAATTATCCAGATCAGTTTTTTGTTTGGTCATTTGTATTTCCTTTTTAAATGTTAACCCCCCCCCCGCCAGTTTCTTATATACATCCAGTGAAACGTCCTTTTCTAGGTCATTCCCTTGATCTGTCAGTTGTAAATTAATTTTTGATTCCATCTCTGTTTTGCCAGATAAAATTTGTTCTATTCTACATCTGTCATTTCTTCAATAACAACTTTTGGACATAGTCTATCCAGAGAAGCAGAGCTCATTATTGATATTGTTGATAGTGTGCTATTATTTTCAAATTCCCTTCTTTAGTAGTTGTTATTATTATAAAGTTTTGCATTATTTTACAGACTTCTAATTCTTTCCTTTACCTAAAAACTTTAGCCATCTTTTCAGTTATTAGAAATCTTCAAATGCTTCTTTAGGCCCAGAGAGTCCTCATTATTGTGTGTGATTAGAGTCAGAGATGCTAGTTGATGAAATGATTGTTATAGTTCATTAATTAAGATTGTGAAAGTGGAAAGAAACTTAGAGATAGAATTTAATAATGGAAGGAACTGTGATGTAATCCAGATGGAGAAAAGCTTCCAGGAAATACTGGACATGGAAAAGATAACCTATATGTCAAGATTCCAAGAACTTGAGAGAAAAAAGGTGATAGGAGAAACTAAGATTAAAAGAAGAAAAAGGTCTCTGAGGAGTATTGCCATAAAAACACTCTAATTGACTTATTGTTTGTATTGATGACAACATCAACTATGGGAAGATCTTGGGATTCCATGGAACATACTGATTTAGGAAAAATGTTTCGCAAAAAAAAAAAGGGCTAAAGCCAGAATTAAGAAATTAAATAACAGGACTTGTTTGATGGAATACTTAAAGACTAAATATTGTTTGAATACGGTTAAAGAAATAAAATTTTAAATACTGATGAATCTTAGCTTAGGAGGGGTAGGCTCCTTAAGCAATACAGTATTTTTAGCCTATGATATGAGAAATATAAAAATGTTTGGGATGATTTATATGAGGGAAATATAATAAATACTGAAATATAATGGATTTTGAAGACTGGAATATGCTTAAAAATGAAACTGATTATAAATGTATTCTGGTTTAAGAGGGATATATATATGTGTGTGTGTGTATATATGTGTATATGTATATATATATATATACACACACACATACACACACACAAGCATACATTATGTCTGTCCTTTGTTCTTTCTGTTTCATGATATGAAAAATTAAGTATTGGGATGGTTCATATGAGGAAAAAGACTTCAATATATAAGTATAATTAACTTTAAGAAAATTTTAACAGGTAAAAATGTTTTCTTTTGAATATTGAGGGGAAAATAAATTTAAATGATAACTCTAAAAACAGGATTTCTGAAAAGATGGTCTAGATGGTTAATTAGAAAAGCTTAATAATGAGGTGGAGGATATTCGTAGATATTTAATTGTTATCTTCTAAAACTTATCAAGAAATGTACTATTTTAAGGTTGATAAAAGAATATTATTGGAAGAAGAGAAAATCAAGGAAAGCTACTATGTGGAATATGGAACTGTTATTATTTGTTATTGATTATTTGTAATACAACCCAGACAAATACAACCCAGACAACACACTGTTTACCAAATATTGATGGTGATATGTAAAAAAACAACAATAAAATATATATTTTAAAAAAAATTAAAAAAACCTATCCAACCAACCAAAATATATCAGTGATAATTCATTAAAGAAATACATATATTTCAGTAATTAAAAATAGAGATGAAAACAGAAAAAATGTAGGAAAACAAAAAATAAGGTCTATATGGTAATATAAAATTAATTCAATCCTTAAATTTATTATAAAATCCATAGGAAACTAGCTTGTCATTCTTAGAGTATAAGTACATTTCAAAAATTGATAAAGACTACATATTTGAATTCACTCCTTAACATCAGGAATATAAATATCTTTCCATCTACAAATAATTCCATATATGCATAGGTAATAATTATCTATATATCTATATAATTATCCATAATAATTATAGAGTCTTACACTTAATTAAGCCAGAATTCTTCATAAGATGTCAAATTCCATAATTTAGAAGTATCTCATCATCACATTTATATCTTCAATATGTATATTTTCTTAGGACTATGTTACATATAATGTAATTTGAAACTAAAAGGGAATCATGACTGGGCATGAACAAATGGTACGAATCGAAATGTCTTCAAAAAATTTTTTTATTAAAAAAGTTTTATTAACAATTAACAAAAGAAAATTTTTAAACCCCCACCCCCCTACCCCCCCACATCCCAGAGCCGAGTACAGGGTTATTACAAACATATTAAACAAAATCTAATTAAATTTAACAAACTATACAGTAACTAAATTCATACTTAACCCTTAACTCCCTTTAAACCTTAATATCATAATATTATAAACAAATCCATTTTAAAGCAATTATTATAAAGTACCATAATAACAGTAAATAAACTAAATAATTTCCATTATAAAATACTATTAGTAATAATTATTATTTAAAATTTAATCATAAAATAAATGGAACTTTTTAGTTCCATATTTAATCTGAATATAATCTATCCATCTTCTCCATACCATAATATATCTTTCTTGTGTATGATCCTTTAAATAAGCAGAAATTTTAGCCATTTCTGCTAAATTAAAAACCTTAAGTGTCCATTCTTCTATAGTAGGCAACGAATCTTTCTTCCAATATTGACCTACCAATAGCCTTACTGCTGTTACTAAATTCAACATTAAAATAGTTTCTTTAACATCAAAATCCTCAAAAATCCCTCGTAAAAATAGTTGAGGAGTAAACTTTATCTTCCTTTTAAAAATCTTTTGAATGTTCCACCAAATCATAATTCAAAAAGCCTTAATATTTTTACAAGTCCACCAAACATGAAAATAAGTTGCGTCAGAACTACCGCATCTCCAACATTTAGGCTGTAAATTAGGATACATACAAGACAACTTTTTAGGATCCAAATGCCACCTATAAAACATTTTGTAAAAATTTTCCCTTAAAATTTGAGCCTGTGTAAATTTAACATTTCTAATCCAAATTATCTCCCATAAATCCAATGGAATCAGTTCCTGGATATTCCGAGCCCATTTAACCATACAATCTTTAACCAAATCCGTTTCCGAGTCCACTTCTATTAATGCATTATAAATTCTTTTAATGTGGGCCTGATTCTGATCTTTAATCTGAATAAAATGTCTTCAAAGTTTTGACAATATAGAATAAGAAATCTGAAATTGGTGACAACTTGGTAATGACATTGCTCAGATATACTGAACAGGGATGTTATGTTTTTTATTTTGGTTTAGCAAATTATGTGAACCATTGTTGTTTGTAAACTATGGTTAATATTTAATCATAAATAAATTTAGCTAATTGTGGTTTATTTAATAAATCTGTTAAACACGCCATTATTCCAGTCTGAACCTGCAATGTACAGTTTCATACTTAATTTCATTTAGTACTGCCTAATTTCATTTAATCTGCCTATCTGGAAAACTAAGTATAATCCTCTTTGAATTTCTAAGAAAAAGAGTGGCTCGTATTAATAATAAATATACTAGGTAACACAGCATTTCTTATTTCTTATATACACTTTACAGACATACACACATACAGATCTAAGTAGGATGATCAGAAACGGTTTATGAAAAAATTTTGTCTTAGAATTACACATTTTAACAATTCTTTTGTTTGTTTTCTGCCCTCCATCCCCATCTCTTTCAGAATCTGTTGCCCTCGTTATGGCGAAAGGAGACAGACAGAAAGTGATTGGGGAAAGCGCTGTGTGGACAAATTTGATATTATTGGTATTATTGGTGAGGGAACATATGGACAAGTATATAAAGCCAAGGACAAGGATACAGGTGAGTATAAAAACATGGATTATTTTTAACTTTCTTTTTCTAAATATATGTTTATGCGTGTATATATGTATATGTGTGTGTATACGTATACATACTATATTCATATACATACATTTATATGTTATGACCCGAGTCGCCTAGGCAGAGACGGGCTATAATAGAGCCCATTATTGCTCTGTTAAATTCCACAACAACCAGCCCTACAATGACCAGTAAGGTTCCACCCCACACTTTCCTGAAGACAGCCATCCACAATCCAACAAACAAAAGCCAGAAAGCAACAAAACCAATTTGTAAAGTCAGAGAGGAAGTCCAAAGCCAAGATGCAAGCTCATGGGGCAAGGTGCAGAGTCAAGGTCCACAGAGCAAGGCAAGTCCACAGGGCAAAAGGCAAATTCAAATTCAAAGGCAAGGCAGAGGCAGAAACAAGAGTCAAGGCTATTTTTTTCCCAAAGCTGGGGGAGTGTAAGCTAAAGCAAACAATTGTTCCTGACAAAGACAATCTCCTCCAGCTTCTGCTTAAGTCTATCCACACCAGGTATTCTTTGTGAGGAGGGGTGAAGTGACCTTTTCCCACGCAGATCTCCTTTGAGCTTGTCACCTCTTACTCTCTGTGCCCTTGGATCAAGTGGGGGAGGCAGCTGTTCCTCATCAGAGGGGATCTGCTGTCTCTCAACACCACTATCTGTCTGTAGCTGATCTCCCCCAGGTCTGTGAGGGCAGGCAGTTCTCCACCTGGTCACCCACCGCCTCCAATGCCTGAGGGGACTGGGATACTCAGCCCTTGGCCTCTCCAAATATTCCAGTAGTTAGTCCTTGACTTATAAGCAAAATGTATCATGTGATCACCATTTGTAACCTTTCCAGTTGGCTTCTGACAAGCAGAATTAATGTGGGAAGCCAGATTTGTTTAATAACTGCAGTGATTCACCTAACAATTGTGGCAAAAAGTCATAAAATGGGGCATAACTCACTTAACAACCATCTTGCTTAGCAATAGAAATTTTGGGCTCAGTTGTGGTTGTAAGTAGAGGTCTACCTGTAACAGTTTGTAAGAATAAACTAAAGAGGATAAACTGGTTGCTCTCTTAATCTCAATGGCAAGTAATTCAAAATACAAGTTATTGTATTAATTCCAAGTATGGAAATGAAGAAAGGTTCTGAAATATGAAAGTTTTTATACTTCTAATATCCCCAGTATGTTCTGATAAAAAGTTTTCATTGTATGGGTAATCCTTGACCTAACAGTCATGATTTGGACTGGAATTTCGGTCATAAGTTGTGATTGTAAGTGAAGGCATCACATGACTAGACTCGATTTTATAACTGTTTTTACAATATAATAATTTTAATAAAAATACGTAATAAATAAATAAAAAATAATAAATACATTTTCAATAAATTTTATAAGTAAATACATTTTATAAATAAATAATGCAAGTCACCAGGTTGTTAAACAATCACATGGTCTTTAAGCAAATCCATTTTTTGCTGGGAACTGACAAAAATATCACAAATTGTAGTCATGTGATCACAGGATTAGTCGTAAATGCAAGTGATTGCCAGGTGCCTGAAACAAGATCATGTGACCATAGGGTATGTGTGTGTGGCTTTCATAGTTTTGAGGACAGGTTTAAATAGATTTTTTTTCCAAGTCTGCTGTAACTGAATGGTCATTAAATGATCCTAAGACGCAGACTTCTTGTGTTGACATTGTCTGCTCAGATAATTGACAGAGAGGAACATGCTTAAGGAGATCCTATTTTTCATTTCTGTTGTTTCTTTTAACTATTATTACTTTTATTGTTTGCTGTGATCTGTATTTGGCAGGTGAATTGGTGGCTTTGAAAAAAGTAAGGCTGGACAATGAAAAGGAAGGCTTCCCTATTACAGCTATCCGTGAAATCAAGATTCTCAGACAGTTGATTCATCGGAGTGTTGTCAACATGAAGGAAATTGTTACAGACAAACAAGATGCACTGGATTTCAAGAAGGACAAAGGTATTCATTGTCAAAGAAGATTATTTGGAAATAGATTGTGAGATTATGACCTGCATTTCAAATTTGCTGGCTTATTTAGCAGTAATAAACATGCTTTGTACATAAAAAACGTAATGTATTGTGAGGAGATATTTTGTCTAGATTGCCAGAACATCAGTAGCTTACTTTATAACAAACATCTGGCTAAGAAACTTCCTATTCATCTTGAGGATCTTTTGTGAAATTTTGAGAAGAGTTCTGTGCTGTGTAAGATAATTAGGTTAACTTTAATAATAGGTAAGGAGAGGAATATTGTTATTCTTAGGATTTAGAATTTCTTTAGAATTTAGAAATGCAGACACAGTTGTCTTGATAATGAATACTAAATGAGATGGAACATTAAACAAACTTGAATCCTCCTTTTTTCTGAGGGCAAAGTTTATGACATTTATATTTTCCTATTTAATGGCATAATCTACTTTAGAATTTTCCTAGGATATTTGATGTGCTAAATATTCATACTTTTATTTTTAAATAAAAATGGTGATGTTTTCTCTTTTTCATTTTCTGGTAGGTGCCTTTTATCTTGTATTTGAATATATGGACCATGATCTCATGGGATTGCTAGAATCTGGGTTGGTGCATTTCTCAGAGGACCATATCAAATCATTCATGAAGCAGTTGATGGAAGGACTGGACTATTGTCACAAAAAAAACTTTCTTCATCGAGATATCAAATGTTCCAATATCTTATTAAACAACAGGTAATGGTATAAATTTATTTTATATTACATGAATTAGATGACTTTGTATGGGAATTGAAAAATTGTTTTCTCAGTATTCTCTCCAGTATATTTAAAAAATGTTCTTTGTATTCTTACCCTTCCTGAGATATGAGGAAGATACTTTGCTCTGTATTCTTTTGCCTACTCTGGTAATAATTTGAAAGCAAAAAGTATTTTTTACTTATTAATATATCGCTATCATGAAATACATTCATAATGGAGATCTATGTGCCTGCTTCACTGCCATCATTCCATCAATTAAAATGTGTTTTATGTATACCGCTGTTTGTTCATTTGATTACATCGATCTTTGCCATACATAGCAATAGCAGGCTGCCATTTCTGTTAAGCAATCATGCTACCTAGAGTCATTTTTGGTGAGATAGGCTAGATCACGGGTGTCAAACTTGCCGCGTCACGTAACTCTTTTTGCATTGCCATCAATGAGGTGGGTGCGGTTTCATTATGATGAAACCAGCCCGTGGGCCAGCAGTTTTGACACCCCTGGGCTAGATAAATAATAAAAAAAATAGTTCCTAGTTTTTTATCAGAATGATTCATGCATAAACCTTTCTTACTGTGGTGGCGCAATATGAGTACCTATATACATCTTCACAGCAATATTTATCTTATTTAGTATGTTTTAATCTAATCTCACCCAGAGAACTGCTCAAAACATTGGATTCCCATTGGGTTCAAGTTCTCATTATGGAAATAATTCAGAGAGAGAAAAGACGAAGGGCAGCTGACCTCAGCAGAGTTGTTGGATTGGGTCCTGATAATTTAAATTTTCTGAGGCTATTTATTAATTACCTTCCTTCACCATTTGTAACTCTCCCCTGCTGCATATTTAGCCCACTATTACATTGGAAAAAGAAAAAAGTCAACTGATGAATGACTTGAAAATATATTTCACGCTGCCCCAAAATTTCTATAAAAGATAGATTATGTAGTTGAAAAATAGAGTTATATCTATAAATTTGTAGGATAATTTTCTGAGGAATCATTTCTATAGGAGATTTCTCTGCCTTGAAAGTGTGACTTACAGGTGCTTATCTGCTGCAAATTCAGTAATTCTTGTTTATGTATTGTTGCTCTTTTGTGTAAAATGTTATTAAAGGTTCACAATTATTTTTTTGCAGTGGGCAAATCAAGCTGGCTGACTTCGGTCTTGCCCGACTTTACAGTTCAGAAGAAAGGTAAGACGTTTAAGAGGAGCATAGGCATGACTTTAGATATTTTACACATAATACACCTGGATAGACTGCCGTACAAACCCTATTGAATTCAATTGCAAACAAACATATAGGAGTTTTCTTTGTTGTCTCTCTTTTTGAATCAGTGGTGTTAGTGAGGGAGCTGGATTGCACTGTTTTTGCCTGTTTATTGGTTGCTAATCATCTTGGTTAAGCTTTGGACTAATAATTAAATTTATAGTTTATTTATAATCCACCTTAGTCTTAAACTTATTGAAACCATTAGCAAATTATTTTGAGCTTTAGATCCCTGACAATAAAAGCAGTGATTTTCCTAATTTTGTTTAAAATGTATCAGAGAGAAAGATTGACCTATCTTTTTTTAATCAATGAAGGTATCCTTGAATGCCTGAGATGTAATGATTTTCTGTAAAGAGGAGAGTGAGATCAGAAACTGTTTATTTCTTGTCTCTGAGTTGTGATATGCAGGTATCTCATACCCCAAATATGTATTCTGCAACTGTATCCTGATCTCTTTCATTATGAATGCTTGAGATTGGGCTTGAGGATGACTTTAAATGAAATTTGTAATGGCTTAAAAATGCTGTTTAAATACTCAATAGTTGCTGTGTTGATTGTACCTTCTAATATACTTCTGTTTAGTTTGATTCTTACAGAATTATTGAACCTAAATGTTGTTTTTTATAATTGTTTTCTCACTTAGCCGTCCATATACCAATAAAGTCATTACGTTATGGTATCGACCACCAGAGTTGCTGCTAGGCGAGGAGCGTTACACACCAGCTATAGATGTCTGGAGCTGTGGGTAAGCCAGTGACTCTTCCATGCTTTGGTGTCTGAGCTAACTTGTGGCTATTATCTGCAGTGGTTCATACCTCAAGCTTTAAACATAGTGTGGCTGAAATTCCATTTGGTTTTGATCCACCTTAAATAACTATGATAAATCTAAATTTTTGCTGTTTTTTTGGACGGAAGCCCCAAGCACATGCAAGAGTTCACTTTAAAAAAAAACCCTTTAGGTTTTTGTATTTAAGATATTCTATTGTTCCTTTTTATAAATACGAATTAAAATATTACTAAAGTTCATGGCAATAATTTTCTTCAGAAATGATGAAGATCTATCTCTTCCACAAGGCAATGGGAAATGCTGCTCTGTAAATGCAGATAGGTCCTTTGCATGCAGTTTTCATTGGCAATTTGCTAGATATTTAATAAGCTCCCTAGGCAGCCAAGAGAAGCTTGCCATCCCTCCCTCCCCCCAAATACCCCAATTTCTGCTATTGGTATTTTAGCTTGTTCTGTTTTCTTCCTAGTTGCATCCTTGGGGAACTGTTTACAAAGAAACCTATTTTTCAAGCTAATCTTGAGTTGTCCCAGCTTGAATTAATCAGGTAAAGCATTCTGTGAATGATAGAAAGGAGATTGGGCACAGAAAGTAGTTTGTATATTCTGCCTTGGCTGTGATATTTTCTAGAATTGCAAGCAATTATATTAGGTCCATATTAGATCTATGAACAATATGAACCAGCTGTTGTTCATGTTAGAAATGTACTTAGATGCCAGAAAAATGCTTTTCTTGAGTTTTTTGAACTTACGTAATTGTATCTTATATTGTAAGTCTCTATTTCCAGCCTGGTAATCCACTCATCAGGAGACAGGAACCCAGAATTCTGTATGTGCAGCTTATTCCTATCTATAATTTTGAATTCTGGTTCTAATGGTGCTGTTAGATGACTAGAAGCCAGCATTTAGGCTCCCTTTAAATACCATACAAAGTTGGGAAAGAGGCCAGGACAGAAAAGAATTGCCATGTGGCTTATTTAACTGGTCACATAACATCTGCTGTTTCTTGGAAACAAAGTGTTTACAGTTTCATCCGCTGCAAAGTCTTCTCTGGAACATCATTCTTCGCTCAAGTAACTTAATCCTTGTTAGGAATCTTTCTAAAATCTGAAATCCATTGCCTTGGCCCAGAGTTGCCTTATTGGCGAGATGGGCAGTATTTGAGTTAAATAAAGAAATACATTTTTATTATTCATCTACAAGTGTCTTCTTTAACTAATCTTAATCATGGCTCGCCCCACCTGTGCTGGCAGAGGGGGCATACTGTAGATCCCATCAGCCAAGGAATTTCAGCTGGCGGTATCCAGGAGAAGAGCCGCCTCTGCTGTGGTTCCTGCCCTCTGGATGTTTCAAAAGACCCTCAAGACCTGACCCTGCCAGATGGCTTGGGAACCCTATGGGGGAGCTTCCTATTGGAGGTGGTTCACTAGTTAAAACTCAATTCCCCCCTCCCCCAGTGTTTGGCTCCCTTCTTTGCCATCTTGTCTCATTAATTTTATTTGTTAAATCTTTTTTATTTGCTGTGTTTTTATAATGGATGATTTTACTGTTTTTTCAATTTTTTTTATGTTGTAAGCCACCCAGAGTTGTTGGATATTAGAGGGGTGGCAAATAAATGTATTGAATCAATCATCTGTATATTGTCAGGATGTTCAATTTGCTGTTGTATATGAATGGGTGTTTTAAAAAGGCACTTCATGTTTCTTCTGCATTTAGAGATGACTAATGGAAATTTCACTCTTGCTGTTCAAATTATATTTCATTTTATTTTTCCTGATGCCCTTTTTACTTCAGTTTTAAAGTCTAGGCCAATAGCTAATTATGAATCCTTCGAGTTATTTAAAATATCTCAAAGAAAGTCCTATACAATCACCCATCTTTTCTCCATATTGCATGCTATTAAGCGATAAATAACCACAGAACTGAGTGACTTTAATTCAAGTATTATCTTTATTGAGAGATTCAAAACTGTGTTTACATTTCCTTGCAGCCGTCTTTGTGGGAGTCCGTGTCCAGCTGCATGGCCAGATGTCATCAAACTCCCCTACTTCAACACCATGAAACCTAAGAAACAATATCGTAGGCGCCTGCGGGAGGAGTTTTCTTTGTAAGTTTGTGTACTGTTCTTTCGGAGAGAGTACAGCATTGTATGCAGTATGTCCTAATGTTTAATATAATACTACAAAGCACAATATCTAGTTTTTTTATTTCCCTATGCTGTCTCTGTGAATATGAGATCATGTAATGGTACACAGGCTTCCTTAAAAAGCTTGCTTGGGATCTTCCCTTTCAAAAAACAGGTTAAGACTTTTGGGAAGTAACTTTTTTTTAAAAAAAAAATTATTCTGCTTTTATAATAGATTTAATCTAATCTTTATAAATAACTCAAAGTGGCAAACATACTTAATATTCCTCCTTTTTTATATCACCTCAACAATCCTGTGAAGTGAGTTGGTCTGATAAAAGAGTGACTAGCCTAAAGTCACCCAACCAGCCTTCACGCCTAAGGCAGGATTAGAACTCACAGTCTCCTGGTTTCTAGACCAATTTTTGAGGATGGAAAAGAGAGAAGGGTGAAATTGTTGGCAGCTATATCTCATGCTTGCTTATTGCAGTTGCAATAATTTTATTTGGTCCAATGTGTATTGTTAATTGTATTGGACTAGAGATACCTGTGATCTTCCAGTAAAACATTAATGGGCCTAAAATCACAGATTTTTGGTGGATTCTAGATGAGAATTAAGAGAGGAAATGGGGACTTTCATCTGTTTCAACCCTTAATTGTGTTCAGTAGTGTCCAATAAGTGTCTTGAATAAAGGGGGAGGAGTGATTGCTTCTGTCCAGCATAAGGAAAAAAAATACAAATAGTTTTTTTTCCCATAATTGAGAACATTTTCCACTCAAAGTGTCCATTCTTAGGCAACTCATGGTTGGGAAAATATAAAAGATTAACTTAAAATATGCTACAAGGTCTCATTTCAAGGATTGGGACTCCTGATACTTCGTGATTAGTACTGATTTGTTGATAAATAATTGGTGCTGATATTACTGTTTATTCATCTCAGTTGTGTCTTGAGTTGAAAGGAGAGGGCATGTGGATTTGAGTAAATATAAATTTTGCTGCCAAATTCCCAAATCCTATTCCCTTTTATCACCACATAAATTATACATTCATTTGAATTACTATGTATGCCATAGTCACGTACATCTGATTGAAGTGAATGGAGGCATAATCATTTAGTTAGTCAGCAAAGAGCATTAAATCCATGTCCTGAGGCAGTAGGCTTTAAGCAGGAAAGAAATGAGCAAATCCATACATGTGGCCTCAATTTTCAGTGATTTAATCCCAATTCTGCTGATACCAGTTAAAGATCGTCCCATCTCTTTTTCTAGAGCTGGTGTATTGAATTGATTTTTAAAAGAACATACAAAGATGACTAATACAAAATCAAATTTGTCCATGTAATCCAGAAACATCTGCTTTGACTAATAGCAGTTCTTCGGGCAAACACTTTACAGTTGATAATGATAAACACTTGGGTTTGAAGCACAAATTACCAGAATCATGCACTCTCAAGTATCAAATTGCAGTATAGGTAGTTCATTTAACGACCATTCAAAGTTACAATGGCACTGAAAAAAGTGACTTATGACCATTTTTCACACTTATAACCATTGCAGCATCTCCATGGTCATGTGATCAAAATTCAGACGCTTGGCAACATATTTATGATATTTGCAATGTTCTGAGGTCATGTGATCCCTTTTGCAACCTTCTGAAAAAATCAGTGGGGAAGCCAGATTTACTTAACAACTTTTAACAGCTGCAGTGATTCACATAACAATTGTGGCAAGAAAGTTTGTAAAATGGGACAAAACTTACTTAACTACCATTTAAATTTTTTAATCTTAAATTAATTTAAATATTTTAATGTTGATTTTATATGTTTATATATTGATTACATTGTAGACTACTTAGGTCCACTCCCTAGGAAAGATGAGTGGTTGAGAAATAAATAAATAGCAGTGCTGATTATTGTGGCAACTCTGGGCTCCCCTCCCCATATTCTTTTTATCTTCTAGCATTCCTTCTGCTGCCCTTGACTTGTTAGACCATATGCTAACCCTGGACCCTAATAAACGATGTACAGCAGAGCAAGCCTTGCAGAGTGATTTCCTAAAGGATGTTGATATCAGCAAGATGGATCCTCCAGAGTAAGTATCCTACTAAAGAAAAAAAAAAAACCTTCCCTTGGTTTATAAGCTAGTTCAAATTTGGAGGATGGCTTAGAGCAGGGGTGTCAAACTGCCGGCCCGTGGGCCGGTTGCATCATATGGAGGCCGCTCCCACCCCAGCTCCAGCAATGCAAAAAAAGTCATGATACGTTGTGACACGTCACGTGATGCGGCAACTTTGACACCTGTGGCTTAGAATTACCTACCTTGTATTTCATTCCTGATGTCTGCTTTTTCTTTGTACATATAAAGATGCTGCTGGCCATTTCCTTTATTCCCATGATATGTATGCGCACAGCCACCTCTAACCCTTTTTTGGTCAAGGTCCCTATGCAATCTGTTGGAGCTATAGGTAGATGAGACAAGGATATAATGATTTAATCAAAGAAAAAAATAGACATATCTAGATTCAAGCTACATTTTTCTGCAATTCCAAATTTTATTTATTGAAATGGTCCTTGATATATATACCTTAAACTTTAAAAAAGTAGTGCAATTCTTGTGGCTTCTATATATCTTTAAAGTCTTTTCTGAAGCTTAACACAAAGTTTATTCCTCCTCATTCACTCACCCCAAATGATCTTCCTTTTGACTTATATAGGAGTTGCTAACAGATGAGAAAAAAGAGGAGTTTTGTGTTGGATTATTGGGGTAAACATCACCTAAGATGAGAGAAATACCAATAATCTAATATTAGAATTTTTATTTTGATTGTTTGCCCTTGCCATTATTGTCTCTAATGTTTTTGTATTATCTTTCTAGTCTCCCTCATTGGCAGGATTGTCATGAACTCTGGAGTAAGAAACGCCGGCGGCAACGGCAAAGTGGGATTGTGGTGGAGGAGCCCCCTTTGGCAAAGGTTTCCCGGAAGGACACAGCCTCTGTAATAAGCACTGAAGCCATCAAGAATCATAGCAGCCCAATACCCTCCCAGCCTGCTCAGATCAAAACACAACCTGGTGCTGGAGACTCATTTGGTTAGTGCAAAACCTAGGAAAATCCTTCAAGCTTTAATGAATTGGCAGGATTTTTTGCACCCTTAAATAGTTGGCAATTCAAAACCATAACTAATAATTTTGAAAAGGGTTATACATCATAGCATGGGAAAAAGGTAATCCTATTGCAAATGTTAAATGTATCACATCTTCAGTTAATTTGTTCTGAAATAGTTGTCAAGGAAATTATAAGAAACCCAGATAAAAACTGGTATAATAATCTTTTATTATTATAACTTCAAGTTACTGATATACAGTATTATTATAATGTTAAATTAAAACAGGCGGTTATGATTAAATTATTGGATTTGGGTGGGAAGGAAATTGATTAATTTCAGCTTAGCAGTCTTTGATGGAAATAACTTTACCATTTTACATGTTGATAAATTTCCATTCACATGTATATAATAAATGATATAATGATATAATATATATATATAATGCATCATGTGTTAACTTCAATCAGTAGAATGTGTTTTTCAGACAGGGTTTACTTGTGCCAGTTCAGGACTCTCCTTTAATATGTTTTTATTAAACATTTCTAATAACTGTCTTTTGGGGGTGTGGTGCTCAGTGGTTAAAGACGCTGAGCTTGTCAACTGGAAAGCTGATAGCCCGAGTTCAAGACAAGAGTGCTGTGCAATGGGGTGAGTTCCCTTACTTGCCCTAGTTCCTGTTTACCTAGCAGTTTTGAAAGCATGCAAATGCAAGTAGACAAATAGGTACCACTTCAATGGGAAGGTAACTGTTCCCTGTGCCTTGGTGTATGGTCACACTGGCCAAATGACCATGGAAATGTCTTTGGGCAGTGCTGGATCCCTCGGCCAAGAAACAGAGATGAGCACTGCCCCTTAGAATCAGACACGACTGGATAGGGGAAACCTTCACTTTTTATCTTTATCTTATTACACATTTCAGATAAATACATAAGCGAAGGAAAAAACCAAAAGGGATAAAAAAGTAAGCAAGGGATTTACAAATGCCATAAAGATGATAATTTTCTAGAATATAATTGTGAATAATTGAATACACTATATCATTTTAAAAGCTTGAACATCACTCTTAGACTCTAAGCAAAACATACATATCTAGAAACATAATCAATGCAATATAAATCATAAAATGAAATTTGTGAATCACAGTAAACTCAGTCCATATTATTAGAAGTCTACTCCTATGAAATTATAATATAGACTTTGCAGTCCCTACTGATCATTCACTATATTTTATTAATAAAATTATGCAGAGGAATTTAAATTTTGCATGTGATAGAATCTATGTATTGAATTATAATTGAAGAATAGTCTCCAGTTTAAATGAAATTCTGTGTCAGATTTACTTTTGAGATACACAATTATTTTAGTCATTGAGGCACATTCCTACAATGAATAACCAACCGTTCAAGGACTGTTGAAGTATCCAGTCGTAGTGTCTTCTTCTGTTCTTTACTCAGTGTTTCACTGACTTCCAAGATTTATTTACTATATCTGTTCACTCAAGAACCTGGTCGCAAATCACACCAAAAACAATCCTGGAGACTGTTATAAATATATATCATATAAATCACTAAAATGCTGTTTTTTGCTCTCAGTTTAGAAGATCTTCCCAAAAGACTAATGTGTTAATAGTTCCTGAAGAGTTTCAGTAAAATTAATAGGTTCATTTTTCTGTCTTTCCTGACATCTATTGTCCACCACGCTAAACTGAGCAGAGTATTCTGGAAGCTGAAGACAGATGGGGCAAATGCATCAAGGAGCTGAGGTTGCAAATCCAATAGGCAGTAGTGCAAATTAACAGATGTATAAAACTATGTAGCCATACACAACAAGGCTGAAACTTGTGCCTTGCAGTTCTACAGTCTAAACTGATTCTCCAAATTAGTGAATTATCACTTTTCCTGAACTTCAGTTTTTATAATCTCCAGCCAATAACATGAAGGCTGAGTTCCAGATGATTAGAAAATACCAGACTGAAAGATGTTTCCATAGATTCAGCTCCAAAAGCAGGCATACAATATATCCTGGTATGTCAGGTGAGAAGCTGGGCTTATATGATAGTTCTCCCTCAAGCATTTTGAATGAGTCTCCCACCAGTATTTTGAATTACTCTGGTTGACATTTCTGTTTGCCCCTCTGTACGCACCCAATGTCCTTGGATTGCTATGTCATTTCTGTTCTTACATTAAATAATTTTTAAATTATTTCTTGAAGGAGAGGAGGAGAATAACACTAAATGTGTCTGTAAGCAAGAGGTAGAGTAACATATAGACAATTTCCTACTCTATTTTTCCTAAGGTCTTTTTGCTTCTTTTTCTGTTTCCCGATGCCTTGCCTCCTGTTTGCAGCAGGTCTTGGTGACATCACACAGCAGCTGAATCAGAGTGAGCTGGCTGTCTTACTGAACTTGTTGCAGAGCCAGACAGACCTAAGTATTCCACAGATGGCCCAGCTACTCAACATTCATTCAAACCCTGAGATGCAGCAACAGCTAGAGGCCCTTAACCAGTCTATCAATGCACTCAATGAAGCCACCACCACTCAGCAACTGCAGGATTCCCAGAAAGTGCCTGAAGAGGAAAGTGCTGTTGAGGAACCACCCCCACCAATCCGTCCCTCTGAGGAACAACCCACTCCTGAAGCAGTAGGCACTCAGGGAGACATGCAAAGCGTTCTGGCAGTTTTGCTGAGCCAACTAATTAAAACCCAAGAGCCTGCAACAAATACAGAGCAGAATAGCAGTGAGAAGAACAGCGATCTACGGGGGCCACGGAAAACCCCCACTTTGCCTCAGGAGGAAACTGCAGGTAAATAATTGTGACACCCCCTTGCTCCTAGGACTTAAGGGGGAAAATTATATGGGTCTTTCATGTGGTAAATAAAAAACACTTTGAATATTCTTTAACCAAGCCTGGTAGTCGTCTCTGAGTGTGTGTGGAATCTGGCGACAGTTTTGGGTTCCTGAAAATACTCGTCATAAGACCTTGAGCAGATTGTGCACTCTTGGCCCCAGCTCCTCTCATGAAAGAATTTTCAGAATGTAAGGCTGGGAAGTCTTGGAATGTACCTTGTTAAATTGGGAAGTGATTGCTCAGATATCCTCTCATGTCATTTTTTATGCACATGGAAACTAGCATGGTACTGAGAAGGCTAAATCATAGTCCTCCTCATTACTGTTCTAGCCTTGTGCTTAGAAACCCTACATTTAATCTTTAGAATATTACAAGACTAAAACCTATAGTTAATGTTACTCTAATTAAATCTTTAAGCCCTTTATGAAGGCAAACTTAAAATAGTTGCTGATCTGTGCTGAGGAAAGGAGTTCAAAAGAAGTCTGTTCTACATATGAGAGGACACAGATTCTCCCACTGAGGCTGGCCCCATCATCTCACCCTTCTTATGAAACAAATTACCACAGTCTAAACTGAAGTAGAAATGCCAGATCCTTATTCTGAACTAGGCTAATATTGGTGGAGAGGGCCTATTCTTATCAGCTGCACTGGTTTGGGATATCTAAGATAACTATGGGGAGAATCCCTACATTTTGTCAAAATGGAAATGAGCAGCATATTGCTTGGTCTCTTATACAATAGGATCATTATATGTTTCTTTTGGATATTCCATATGGGTTTGATTATGGGAAGGGTTATTGTATATTCTATATGGAATTTTTTTTTGTTTATATGATATTCTTCATAGTGAAAATAATCTTTTCATTTGTTTAAAGGAGTATATTTAGCTATTTTATTTTCAGACTTAGTATTTGAAAATGCGTGGGCCATGACTGCTGAAATTTAAGAAGATGAAGGAGGGATTCAGCACCATTTTTTCGGGGGGCAGCTTCAGTACCCTGCCTAGATCTTTGTAACTGACTATGACAATCAGATGTATAATAAACAGTAAAAACAGAAATGATTATCTTGTACACGGGTCCCAGAATTTAGATAACCTTGATGCAGAAATTTGTTTTGCTTTGGTTTACCTCTTTAAAAAAAGTTTTAAAGCATATACAGCTATTTCATACTATTACCCTGACTGACAGTGGCTCTCAAAGATCTCAGAACGAGAATTTTTGAGTCCTGCAGTATGGAATCCTTTTTATGTCTGATAATCTGGAAGTTATTTTATTGAAAGAATGTTCTCTTCCTCTAAATTTGTTCACTTCCTTTATATCTGTGTCTGAAATGTTTAATGTTTTTCACATGTACTTATGAGATGGTGTTTAAAAGAAGTAACCATTCCACAGCCTGTCCTCACATTCTCCCACCAGAGAAGAGACCCCCTGAACCTCCTGGACCACCACCGCTGCCACCACCCAATCTGGCTGAAGAGAACAACTCTAATGCAGCTCAGGAGTTGAACCCGGCTATGACAGCCGCTCTCCTCCAACTTTTATCCCAGCAAGAGGCAGGGTTGCTGAGCCACCCAAAGCAGGAACCCCAAGTTGGGAAGCCCTCCTCGGAATACACCAAGTCAGAAACTTCATCCAGGACTTACTGCACTGATGGGCCCGAGGGCTGCAACTTTGATGTTGATGAAAGAAATTCCATCCAGACTTTAACAGAGACATCGTCCCCAACTGCGGGGAAAAGTAGGACCTTCCTGGGTTCCACAAGTCACATCAGGGAGTCCAGCAGTTACCAGAGCACAGGATCAGTTCAGTTCCCTGGGGACCAGGACCTCCGTTTCACCCAAGTCCCCTTAGCGATACACTCTGCTGTTGGGCAGTCCTTCATCAAAACTGAGGGGAGTAACAATACACTGGTACACTCAGAGGCCAAAGTTCATAACTACAATGAGGTGGGAGTAACAAATTCGAGTGACACAGGAACAAGCCACACGTGGGGAAACCCAGTCCAGTCCACTGCATACGGGAAAGCTTTTCGAGGGCAGAATAGAGCACCTCCAAGAGGAGGAAGAGGGGTACCTTATTAAAATGACTGAAGAGGTGGCATGAGGGGGGCAATGTTTACTTTCTTATTCTCTTGACCTTAGAGCAACTAGTTTGATGGGCAAACCAATGACCACCTATTATAGAAATGGTTAATACTTTCCCCCCTTTTGCTCACCAGGCTGCTCTTTTCCCTCAGGGCTTTAGAATGAAAGTTCTTTAGCCTTTTTGTGACATCATTCCATCCCCCAGAATCTACTGATTTGGGTTTGATGTGATGAGTTTTGCTACATTGGCATGGGGGGGGGGGAGGGAAGAGGGAAAAGAAGGAAAGATTTCTTAAGCAAAAGAATAAATTGGAAACATGAATTGAATGTGCTTGTATGACTTGAGCTATTATTTTTGACAGCCCACTGAAGATCTGATGAGATGAATCAGTGTCTTGGTCTATCTTTGTTGCAGAATGAAGTCTTAGAATGAGCTGTACTATTTCAGATAGCAGGTGGAGAAATCCATACGTGGAGTAAGAGACAGAAATTTTCCCTCGCAGGTAGAAAATTCAGCATATTATTGAAAGAGATCTTAGCTCAACACCCCTTTGGCTGTATTAATTTTCTTTCTAAAGCCAAGACTGCACCTTTCTGGGAAGAAGAATATTTGAAAAGTGCAGTTGAGCACCATCAATCATTCAGCCAGCTCATTCTATGGCTCATGTTGATCTAATCTCAGTATTGCAAAGTCCGTACATGTTTTGTTTTTCCCTTGCCTTCTTGATTTTCAAGATTTGTCAGATGGTGCCTAACATGCCTTTTATACTAAATTAGAAAAAAAAATTAGTTTGTTATGTAAGTCTTGGGATATTTTTTTCTCTTCTTAGTTATTGTTTCTTTATGTGAAAAGGCAGGATGCTACATTCTTCCAAGGGTAAGCTGTTCCCTGGTTTACTGTGAAAAGCCCTGTGCTGTTATTACTCACTTCCAAACCTTAGCTGAATTAAGTTTCTGTAGTGAGTCCACTGAGTTGTGGATGGAATTATTATTTTTTTATTTTCTCTCTTAAGAATGGCAAGTGTCTTTTTGTTGAAGTTCATACAGCCTGAGTAAATGGCTAAAATAAAATAAAAACCAAAAACTTTGTAATTCTTAAATTCTTGGGGTGGAGGGTATTTAATACTAAAATGAAGGAAACCTGAATAGGTTTATTTTTTTCTCAGTCTTTAAAAGATAAGCGTTGCTATTTCTTGTATAATAAAACACTGTTTTCAGTGTTTGAGAAGACTTTTTGGAACATTCCTCAGTAAAACGAGGGTACTTACTTATTTTTAATTGTTCTATTTTTATTTTTTGCTTTAGTAGTTTCACTCATACTGATTAATTTTCTCTTTCAATTTTTTTTTATCCCTCTCCCCCATAGATCTTTGTGAAAAAATGCACTGGAGACTGTATAATGCTCCAAGATTTCAAAATGCAGAATTATGGAGAGACATAATTTCTTAGAAACATAGCTCCACTTCCTCCCACTTCCAGTTCTTTTAAATGAGAGTTTTCAAAGAGAGAAACATCCTAGAAATTGAAAGGCACAGTTGCCATTGATCATTCATAAATAAAACTGCTTTCATATTATGGAGAAGAAAATCTGCAGAGTTCGAGGAAGCACACTGCTGCTGAATACACCTTAAACATGATGAGGAGTGATATAATTAGAAATTGATATAAAGGGATGAGGGGGAATCATTAAGTATAGTAATGTGCCACCTTATATTAGAAAAATACTGTTTTCTTTGTTCTGCAAAGTAGAAAGTTTTGCAAAATACCAAGTGTAAATTTTGTGTGTACTTTTCAATTGAACCTTCAGTTCATAATTAATGTGCAAAAAAGTATTATATGTGCAGAATATGGTAAATAAAAGGGAGGGTTTTCTCTCTCTCTCTCTCTCTCCCTCCTTTATTATGCATTTTTCTTGATGTTTTTTATGTTAGCGAGCTTAAGCTGTCCTGGTATCCCAATTATGCCTTTGCTCCATCCTTCCATATTCTTTCTATCCTTTCTTTTGTCTAAAGACAGAGTTATCATTTGGCCATATGGCCATTCATTTTCTCTTGTATTCACCTGAAAGAATTTGAGCATCACATATTCAATCACCTGCTTCAATGTTTTTCCCTATCATTGGACATGAAAGGCAGATTAGGGACAGATTGTCATGGAGAAAATCTATGCGGTGATTTAGAATTGATATCAGTTTGAAGGCATGTAATCAAACTCTACAAACCAGAATTACACAGCATTTTGGATTCCAAAGAAAGTAGGTGGTTCAGAAAAATAACTTTTTTTTCCTGAAATTTTGCAGTTGCTCTCTAGAACTAGATCCTGGGAAAAATGTATTTGGTTTAAGGACTGCTGCCATGTATGCACACTTATGCATCTCAAAGCACTTTTTAAAAATCTTTGAATTAAAAGCATTGCACGACTATCGTAGATAATTAACTTGAAGTGAAGAATTCATTGTTTCAAATTGATTCGAAGGATATTTTTCCTTCTCTTCTAGAAGAGAGTCTTTTCCCTCTTTTTTAATCCTTTGTCCTATGCAGAACAGGCTTACCAGTACCTAGTTTGGTACATTGAATGACATAAGAAATTGCTTTGAAATTTAGTACAGTTAAGGGTACACGGGGAGGGAGTTGAGAAAATGTTCACTCTAGTTCTGGAATTCTCCACAACTATCTTACCAGTTTTTATATACAAGTTTGCCTTATTTTTTTTTTTAAAAAAAATACATGGTTGCCTTGTTCAGATTTAAAATCTTCCATCATTCAACCATATTAAGATGTCTGAATTAGTGCTATTCAACAGAAGTGTAAATTGAGTTCACCTAGGACCAGTTACTTTATTCTGCATCCCACCTTCTCCTTTCTGTAGG